CGGCCATGGCTCACGGGCCCAGCCGCTCCGCGGCATGTGGGATCTTTCCAGACCGGGGCACGAACCCGTGTCCCCTGCATCAGCAGGCGGGCTCTCAAAAACTGCGCCACCAGGGAAACCCCTAAGATCTTTTTTCTAAATGATGTTATGTCATTATAAGTAAAATAAATAAGCAGTATTGTAAAAAACATGCATCCATTTGGTCATAAAGATTTATATTATTTGTTCGTAATAACAACTTTATTATAAATTAGTATACTTTCACTGTAATGTAAAATATGTAAAAACAATAACAACAACAACAAAATAAAGATCATTTAATATCCCACACTCTGAGGTAATCACAATTTTGGTTATCAAGTGTCAGGGGCAAATAAGGTGGTAGTGGGGAAAATCACTGAGGTATTTTAAATAGACATTTGTTTCATTACTTGGAACAATAATAGAGACTTTAACTACAAATTATGAGCATAGAGGAATTTGTAATTTCTACAAATGAGAAAGAAAATATGAATATAGACATTGTTGGACTTTGAAAGCTTTTCCACTGTTTAACAGTTAGCTGAACAATCTCCAGATCAAATTAAGTAGTACTCTCAAAGTTTCTGAAAGGCGCATGGCTCTTATTCCAGACCTCAGAGCTTTTTGGTCAGAATCATGAGCTCTTAGAAATATTAAGAGAGCACAGGACCTTTCACTGACAATGAAAGGTCCTAATGTGTTGAAAGTTCCCTATTCCAACTATTAATACATATACAACTAAGGAAAATAGAGCTAAACAAAAGAGAAATAAAATGAAATATTCAGAACCAGTGTCCTTAATGAAATGGACACAGTTGTGTAATATCTCAGACTCTCATCTGGCCAAAAGTAGTATCTTTCTAGGTCTAGATACTTTTACTTCACCCAGTTTGAGAAATATCTATGACATTTAAAGTATTCAGTTCTGAACAAAAGAAAATGTAAACTCAGCCTTTTAAGGATGAGCTGAGAGATTTTGCTGAGGAACTGGAGCACCATCTAATTAACACTGGAGGGAGTTCCCTGGTGGCCTAGTGGTTAGGATTCTGGGCGTTCACTGCCAGGGCCTGGGTTCAATTCCTGGTCGGGGAACTGAGATCCCGCCAGCCATGTGGCGTGGCAAAAAAAACAGAAAACCAGAAATAAACAAACAAAAATAAACACTGGAGTCACATAATTTCAAAGGTAGAGAATAATAGTATTATTTAAATAATAGCTTTAGTGAAGTGTGGTTGACATAAACTGCACATATTTAAAGTGTACAATTTGATAAGTATATATATAACCAAAATAACATATCTGTCACTACCAAAAGTTGCCTTGTGCCTCTTTGCAGTTCCTCTCTCCCCCTTTCCCCGCCATGCCTTCCTCCCAACCCCGTCCTCAAGCATCCACTGATCTGCTTTCTCTCATTATAGATTATTTCCTAGAGTTTTATATAAATAGAATTGTACAGTATGTGAGAGAGTGCTATTTTAAAAGCTGAATGGGAAAGAAAATGAATGTTTCAGCTGTTACATGTAAATGTACTGCAGTAATACATTTTTAAAAAAACTTTTTAACGAGTAATTTTTGTCAGTGTCAAAGGAGTGTTACATGGATAAACAACAAGGTCCTACTGTATAGCACAGGGAACTATATTCAATATCCTGTGATGAACCATAATGGAAATGAATATAAAAAAAGAGTTTACATATGTGCGTAACTGAGTCACTTTGCTGCAGCACAGTAGAGATTGGCACAGCATTGTAAATCAACTATACTTCAGTAAAAAAATTAATATTGGGTCTTTGGATATATGAATAGGGTGTATCTTTCCATTTACTTACGTCTTTAATTACTCTCTCCATTGTTTCATAGATTTTAGTATGTAGGTCTTGAATGTCTCTTGTCAAAATAATCACAGGGTATTACATTTTTTTGATGTTATTGTAAATAGTACTTTATTAATTTCATTTTCTATGTGGCCATTGTTAGTATATAAAATATGCTACATTTCTAAATTTGTTTACTAGCTGTAATAGGTTTTGGCTAGATTACTTAAAATTTTCTACATAGATGATCATGGATCTACAAATAAAGTCAGTTTAAAATTTTCTCTTCCTATTATATATCTTTAATATTCTTTTTGCTTTATTGCATCTGCTCGTATTTCCAGTAAAGTGTTCAAAAGAAAAGAAAAAAAAGGAGTGTTACATGCACATGGTAAAATATTTGGAAAACTCAAAAGTATGTACAATGAAAAGGAGGTTTCTCTACCACCGTACACCCACCTCCACCAGACCACTAGTCCCTGAGTCCTCCTCTCAAGAGACAACTACAATTACCAGTTTCTTTTACAGCCTGCCAGAAATAATCTCTGCATATACAATTATCTAGATTCATCAACAAAATAGAACATGCTATATCTTCTGTTCTGCAACTTGCTTTTCCTTTCCTTGTAGCAGTAGATTTTGAAATTGTTCCATAGCAGTACATGGAGAACTCTTTCATAGCTGCATAAAAACCCATTGTATGGATTTCTTTATTGAGTCCTCTATCAATGGACACTTAAATTTTTCCCCACCACTCCCCTTTAATTTTTTTTTTTTTTTTGGCTGTGTTGGGTCTTCATTGCTGTGCATGGGCTTTCTCTAGTTGCAGTGAGCAGGAGCTACTTTTCATTGCGGTGCATGGGCTTCTCGCTGCGGTGGCTTCTCTTGTTGCGGAACACAGGCTCTAGGTGCGCAGGCTTCTGTAGTTGCAGCACACAGACTCAGTGGTTGCGACACGTGGGCCCTAGAGCATGTGAGCTTCAGTAGTTGTGGTGCTTGGGCTCGGTAGTTGAGGTGCGCAGGCTCAGTAGTTGTGGCTCGCGGGCTCTAGAGCGCAGGCTCAGTAGTCATGGTACACGGGCTTAGTTACTCCACGGGCATGTGGGATCTTCCCGGACCAGGGCTTGAACCGGTGTCCCCTGCGTTGGCAGGTGGATTCTTAACCGCTGCACCACCAGGGAGGTCCTTCCCTTTCATTTGTGACTAATGTAAACAGTGATGCAGTAAACATCCTTGAAATTAGACCTTTGAACACTCATGTAAATACATCTGCAGGCTAAACTCCTAAAAGTAAAATTAATTGGCCAATTAATGTGTTTTTTAAATCTTGATAAATAGAAGCAAATATCCTCCAAAGAGGTTGTGCCTGTTTACACTTTCACCAGCCTTGTATCACGTGCTCAGAATAGACCTCACACTCTCACTATGTATTATCAGACTCTTTGATCTTTGACAATCTGATTGATGAAAACTGGCATCTAGCTTCACTAGATTTTTTCTTTTGTCATGGTGATACTTAATTTTTTTATTGAAATATACTTGACATATAACATTGTGTAAATTTAAGATGTACCACATGTTAATCTGATACATTTATTTTCATATGATTGCTATTGTGATAATTAGTACCTCTAGCACGTTACATAATTATTCTCTTTTATAGTAGTGGGAATGATTAAGTTCTAGTCTCTTAGCAAGTTTGGTAATTATAATACCATTTTGTTGTCTCTACTCAGTACACTGTGTATTAGATCTCTAGGGCTTATTTACTGCTCATTGTAAGTTTGTACTCTTAAACAACATCTGTCCTTTCCCCCCATTCCCCAGCCTCTGTTAAGCACTTTCTCTGTTTTTATAAGTTTGGCTTTGGGGGCATTTCCTTATAGTAGTACAGTTGACCATCTTTTCTTATGTTTATGAACTATTGATATTTTTTGTAGTTATCACCCTGTGTATAAATCAGTATTTTAAATCAGTCGTTTTCATGCTGCCAGAAAATTTTGGTTAGGCCTTGGAATGTTGCCCCCCAGTATAGTGCTGGTCAGGACCTCAAAGGATGGGGCAGAAAAGTTAGCTGTCAGTGTATACTCACTTTTTTTCCAGAAATCCTCTAAGAATTCCCAGGAAGTCTATTCTGAAAGCAATATTACAGTCTTTGTGATTATATACATGGCACTCTTTCTGGCTTGCAAAACTGATTTTAATAGTGTTCTGTATTCAGGTTGAAGGTAATGAAAGTTTTCCTATCCTTTCTCATAAACTATGAGACTTAGTTATGGTGGAAATAAAAATAATGTCTTTGTGAGATGCAAAGCCCAAGGGACACAATTAGAAAATCAGTTTTTCCAGTTCCTATCAAAATTTGTATCTTGCTTACTAATTAAACTATTCCGTGTAGGAGAAATAAAGAAATGCTGGGAATGAAAAGAGGAGAGGAAATGGTAGGAGTAGCAATAACACTCCCTTCAAACTTAGGATGATCTAGTCGGAAAATTTTATTAAGTATTGTACGCTGGAGCAGCTTAGCCAGAAAAGATAACTGGCACCATATGGAAGAGTGGAGTTGTCCTTTCAGGAGCATTGCTCTCAGGACACTTTGCAGGAGGCTGATGATCTGAGCACTGGCTTGTCTTACTTTGAAAGTGTAAGCGGGACCCTGCCTTGTCCGAGAGCAGGCACTGCTCTGGTGAAGTTGTGATATTTCTGGTTGACAGGTGTAGTGGTGTTGAACACTTTATTTTGGAAGTTATTGGGCGCCTCCCTGACATGGAGATGGTGATCAATGTACGAGATTATCCTCAGGTTCCTAAATGGATGGAGCCTGCCATTCCAGTCTTCTCCTTCAGTAAGGTAAGTATAGGAAGAGCCATATGAAGGGATGGAGGGTGGTCCTGTAGCATATAAGCAAGAGATGACTGTCTGTGGCAGAGTCTGATGAGTGATGGTGAGGATGAGGCCTGAGGTCCAAAAGTGGGTCTGTGTCCCTGTTAGCTTCACAGTCATTGAACAATAAGACTGAGGAGATGGGGTTGAGGACCCATAAGTGATGTGAGTAAGGTTGCTTGTGTCTATAGGGCTAGGGATGGAGGGTATGGAATGAGAGAGGCCTGAGGAACCTCTAGGACATTGAAGGTGGGATTCAGAGTTCCTACAGAGCATGGGAGAGAGTGGCCCAAGAAAACTCATGGGCTTGGCGTTAGGGAAAACCTGCATATTCAAAAAAAAGATTTGTTGAGCTTCTACATTGTATGTATCAACCATAGTATTAGGTATCGTCTGTCCGGCCACTGTATCCCAGGGTCCCAGCCTGGCTAACAGTGAGACTGAAGGTGCTAGATAACTTCACACAGTTTGCACCCAAGCAATGCAGTGAGGGGATATGCCTGCGATACCCGACAGGGATATGTGAGGGTGTGATCTTTGGGTCTAGTTATGGAGAGATAGGAGTACTAGGACACACTTGTGGGCTTGGAGAACTTGGGACAGTGAATATCTTAGTGCTCAGGTTCTTGTAAATGGTGTATTAGCAGGAATGGGCCTTCATTCCCTAGAGACTAAATATGAAAGCATTTGGGGGCAGGGATGGCGGGAGGCTAGAAGAGAGTGGATGGGAGATTCTATGGGAGAAGAGAAAACACTCTGAACTTTGAGAAAATAACTCCATTTCTGAGTTGGTGTCTCCAAAGCAGAGGAACTTTTTATCCCCACTTTTTCTTTATCACAGTTTACTTTCTCTCTAGACTTGTTTATTTCCTGTGTTGCAAGTGGGCTGAGGCCACATTTGTGTTGCATTTCACATGGTTTACCCTCATTTCTCAAAAGTGCTTGGTCCCGTTATTTCTCATGAAGCCCTCTCAGAAGAACAGATAGAGGCTCCCATGTAAGTCAGTAAGGACTTTGTGTTTATTACTTATCTGTTTTTTCTGTGGATAATAAGTATGACCATCAGTATACTAACTTTCCTTTCATCTTTAATCCCCTCCCTTTTTTTTTTGAACCAGTGACTCTTAGTTTGCAAGAGAGGGATTTTAGTCTGTCAGCTTTATAATAAATGTGCAGTTTATTTTGAGCAGCTGTTATGCCTGAGGTGCTTGATAAATCACGTACCATTTTTAAAATATTTGAAAGAAGGCAAACAGCATATGGCATATGTAATTCCAATGGAAGAAACAGTAGAATTAGAGGCTTATCAGTGACCAGAATTTTAAGAGAAGTTACCATGTAAAGGGAACAAATGGTTTCAAACTTTTTTCAGAAGATGTGGGATAACACCCCTCCCCCCCATTCTGCCCATCACTACTTTTGACCCTTATCCAAAAAATAAATAACTCAATTTATTGACCAACCAATGTGATCTCAGCAGTGCCACAGTAATAGGTAATACTAACACTTACTGAGTGTTTACTTTGTGTCAGACACTGTTCTAAGTTTTTTACATGTACTAACTCATTTAATATTCAAAACAAGCCTATTAGATAGGTAATATTATTGATATTATTATTTATCCAGTTATAAAGGTAAGGAGACTGAAGCATAGAAAGATTAAGTAACTTGCCTAGAGTTGGAAAGAGGTGGAGTCAGATGATCTTTCTCAAGAGCCCACACTCTCAACCATTGCACTATGTTTCCTAATTCTTGCTCCTAAAAGACCTATTTAGGAAATAACTAAGAACTGGTAAGATAGTATACACTCCAAGTGTAATATCAGTTAAAAGATGAGACAGCTATGTGATCATTCAGAATTGGGTATATTATTTCCCTAATCTAAAAACTCCAACGGTGGATGTCCTCTAGAAAAACAGAACTTTGGGGAACTGGAAAAGTTGACCTTTAGTGTGATTTCGTATTCTGAGATTCAGTCAGCCCATGAATTTTAACCCATGGTCATTTTTGCCTTTTAGCATCTAGAGTCTAGACTTTGAAACTAGGGAAAATATATCTTTGACAGTATAACACTGGGGCAAGGCCTTTTCCAGATCCCGTGGCATGAATGCAGTTTGCTGCTGCTTCTTCTTGCTCTGAGACTGACTTAGAATAACCTCTCTGTTTCTGTTGAAGACATCAGAGTACCATGATATCATGTATCCTGCTTGGACATTTTGGGAAGGAGGACCCGCTGTTTGGCCAATATATCCTACCGGTCTTGGACGGTGGGACCTCTTCAGAGAAGACCTGGTAAGGTAGGTCCTTTAGAGAGGTTTTATTTATCCCTCTTTGTGGGTCATCTTGAAGTAAACAGTAAAGTATAAACAATTAATTTTGTTTAAAAGGACTAACTTTTTTTTTTAAGAGGACTAACTTTTAAGCTAAAAATGAAAGACAAAAAACTATAGCATAAGCAATTTTGTATGTGTATAAAAATATTTACATATCCATAGAAAAAGAGCAAAAGAACCTACCCTAAAGTGTCAGCAGTGCTTCTGTGGGAGGGATTCTAGAAGCCTCTTCTTCTTTAAAGTTTTCTGTACTGCTAAGTTTCTCTAAATAAGAGTGAGTTACTTTCATAAGTAGGAAAAAATGAATGACCATACTGTGGGAAAGGATAGAAAATTACTTGGAAGCACATAAATGTACTTTGTAATTAAGAGCTAAGTCCTTCAGGCAGGGGTGGTTTGGGTATAAATGTCCCATAGGTATCTCAAGTACAAGCTTATTCCATATACTCTCTAATTCACAATTGAAACCTGCCTTGGCCTGTTGACTGTATCCTGCCATTATTTCATAATTTAGATTGTCCAGGTCATCAAGCTGTACGTACTTCTTACCTAGCTACATTTTACATGAATGATTCCAACAACATTGGTACCTAATGAGCAAACTTCTAGAAACACACCTTTCTAGGTATTCTCTCAGATGTAGGGAA